ATAAGTTAAATACAGAAATATATGTGTATATATGTATGTATGTATATATGTATGTATATATATATATATATATATATATATATATATATATATATATATATATATATATATATACATACATACATATATACACATATATTTCTGTATTTAATATATATAAACTCAGATGAAAATTTATTAAACAAGAAGGAAATAGTGGGCGTAAATCCTATACAAAATATATATTTAATAACAAAAATATCTGCATTTGCAATACAATGACTTATTTGAAGAAAAAAAAGTATATATATAATCTAATATTCAAGCTAAATAATTCAAAGCATATCTCACATAAATAAACATTGTCTAATAGGACTGAAATATAATAAAAACTGAAATGATCATTGAAACCATAAAATTTAAAATCTACTGTAGTTAACAGTTGCAAAACAATAAAAAAAACTTGAACAAAACAAATCACTTAGCTGGGAGAGGAGCGAATTCTATTTATAAGAGAAATTCTAAAACGGTGAATAGAATTTATAACCTTAAAATTTAAAATAAAGTTTCAGTAAAATAGTTAGCCATGATTTTTTTTCTGTCCGCACTGCAGTAGTAGATACTGATAAGAATGACGTTTATTTCTTCAGGACAGTGGGATTTTAAATAAACCTCAATTATAGCATATAAATTTATTATATATTCCATATATTTTTGGGGAGGATAAAATTAATAGTTTTAAATTACATAGAATTGGTTTTGAAATAAACATTGAAATAATTGTTAATAGAACTATTTCAATGCATTAATTTATGAAGTCTAGGTTTTTCTTTCAGGACACAATTTCTTTTCAAACCCTAGTTACACTTGACTGAAATGAAAAATGTAGATCTTCAGATTGGAAAATCAGAGTATGTCGATTATGGACTCATTTTGAAGTACTTTGTTTACATCAAGTTATAACTAATGCACAACAAATTAGCTACGCAAAATTTTGATAATTCATTTTCCAAAAGCATTTTTGTTTACGGCAAAATATCAGTAAATATTTACAATGACTCCAAGAACATCCGCAGGGGGTAAGTATTTTATTTAATAGAAATTTTTAAAACAGATTTAACAATATATATTTTCGATTTTTTTACGCAGACTGAACACCTTATAATTTTGATTCATTTTAGTTCTATAAGTGTTATTTCAACACATAACAAAAAAATAATAATAATTTAACTTTCATAATTTAATTTATCAAAATGGTAAGACATGAAAAAAAAATATTTAAGGCCCCTAAAAAAGAACTTATTCAACAACAAGTCTATTCATTGACAAATTTTCTTTTCTACTTAATCTGGCGGGGATTTTGAGGTGCGCTAAATCTTAAAAACCGCGCTAAAAAGGGAGGAGATGGGAGAACTAAGTTGAGACCTGAAGGCTGAATTTGTAGGGGTTGTAGTGGTTTGCGAAACCTTAACAAGCAGAAAATCCATAAAAAAAAAAAACACTGTCAAACGTAAATTTACTCCAACTTTAACGTTATTGATTTGGCTAGATTATAACTCGATATACTAAATTTCAGCCTGATTGTGCTCAACTATGAAATATGACCCAAATTTAGAGGGGGATTTATATATCTATACCTCCCTTTCCCCAGTTCGAATGGTCACTTAAATATTTCGCTGCGATATGCGGTCTTCTTACAGACGCATTAGTTGTTGGATCACACAGACATCCTAGACGAGAATCATCCGAACTAACTCCTGTTATGGACTGTTGTTTCTAAGGCGAAGAAGCAGAATATCCATAGCTCCATAAAGATACTATCGCTGGTACAGCCCGCCGCGTCGATAGTCAGCAGTTAAGCACTGCTATTTAGTAGAATAGAAAGGAGTCTTGGGCAGTACTAGCGAAATGGTACCTTAACTGATCCCTTTGGTGCCAAGTTGCCACAGCCCTTCCCGCCGATCCACTTTGGTACAAAGAGGATAACAAATCTGTCTAGATCCCTGGATTAAGGCTGTTCACGGTCACTATGTATTTTCCTGAAATGGCTAATAATCACATCGCAATTCATCTCCCAAACTACACGTGATAATATTATCATTCGTTCTTCCCTAATAATCGTGTTTCAGTGTTACGAAACGGATAAAACATCACCTCCGATACAGTTTAAACGTCTATTATTTTCGAGGAAAGTGCGACTAATGGTTAAATGGAATAAAGAAACAAAGACATGGATGGCACGAGGAATAAAATAATTATTGATACATATTCGGAATTATATTCAAAAGGAGCAGCCAACTAGAAAATAAGAATTAAAAATAAACTAATAGCATTTGAAAAAAGGCAATGGGAATAGTAAAGGAAAATAAATTTAATTTCTAAAAAAGACCTTTGCCTGGCAACGAATGGCGGTAGTACCAGTTTTTGTCGCCAGGCCTCCACTTCATGCATGGCAGATGCGAAGACCCTGCTTTGTTCATCCCTTCAACAACTGCTCCTCCCCGTATCATTCTCAAAACGCCATCGGAAATAAGTGATTTCGTATTATTGATTCTATTTTAAACTACTCATTACAAATAGAAATAATACTACCTGTCCATAAGACAAAGCTATGACACCTAGCGACACTGAGTTGGTTCGTAGTAATTTTTTTTTGTTTCATTACGTTCTTTTATCTAGTCACAACAAAAAGAATTTCGGAAAGTATTGCGAAACTAAAAGTATTAGGACTGAAGATTATTAAATAAGTATCAGCAAACGATAACAGTTATACAACACCTTTTTGCCATAACCAACTAGGAATTTCCCAAAACTATTACGATAAAAAAGTAAGAAAAGGAATCTGTCGGCAATGATGCGATATGTAGAATACTTTAAACTGTATATGTTGTTCAAACATACTCATTTATTCTTCTCTCGGACTTCAGTTCTCTAGGACAATTACAGACTAATAATTAAAGCATAGGTAAAATATGTTTTAAATATGATCCCCAAGTATTAAACTGATGGAATATGACGGAGTGGTTAAACACTGACGGACGAGATTCAGTAACAAACACAAAAATAAATCAAGTCCGCAAAGAAGAATCAAAAAATAAAATATCAACAGATCACTCGGTAATTTAAAATATCAACTTCGAGTAGTATATGAACTGTGAGACAGCAAACATCACAACAAAGAGAGTTTATTTCCAACTCAAAAAACCTAATAACTATACTAATGATCCACGTTACGTTAACCATTCATTACCATACATAGCATGAATTCAACTATTCCTCAACTTAGTACTTTCGAAAATCTGATCAATCTTAACCATCACATCCTCATACAAATTATCCTTGAAGAATAAACCTTTTGGTTCTTAGCGTACAATCCGCAATTACATATCAGCTTCTTTTTTTTTTCTTTCTATAACCGTTGAATGACTAGGTAGAGCAAGGAGCTATGAGATTTCTGCTAGTCATTATGCTTACTCAGGATCTTTCAGATTTGGAAGGCTTGTAAATTTTGTACATATTTAACACATTTTGTTCATTAATTTATCTTGCTAAATGGAAATGCACGCGAATATTCAAAATTATTACCTAATGCCTTTAAATGGTAGATATTATCAATATATGAATCGATAAAGAAAACAAGAAAGTTGTTCACTAAAACCCTTCACCTAACGTAAAATAGAAAGCATAAAAATTAATCTGTTAAATTTTATTTCCAATAAGACACTCTTTTAATTTATAAAAGTATATTGCCTACTTAGCTAATACAGTAGTACTTTTCAAGGGCACTCAATGTTCTTATGTATGATGTCTTCAAGGAATATATACGCCCTTATACTTCCAAATGTTTTACTCTACATTCAACGACGATTCGAGCTGATTATTAGCTCATTATCAAGTAATTGTAACAATTTTTAATTATTGTAACAATTACTAAAAACCTATAAAACCTGGAGCGGTCCGCGCAACACACAACTTCCAATTACCACCCTCTTTTTAACAGAAATAAGTACTTTCAGACAAAGGGGAAGTGAAAGTAAAAATCATAGACGCTATATTTATTTATATTTAATTGTGGATATTTTTATTTGTATAAAATTATACATACAAATTTTAATATTTGTATCACTGTAATCTATACATTTATGAAAACCGCATATGTATATTTATATAATATTGTCGTATATTTATTATATTCTCCTTTGTTTTCTTTTTTTATTTATACTTATTTACTATTTTTGTTTGTATCTTCTATATATATAATACTTGATATTTTAACTACATTGTCACCCAATATATCTCTGATGTCATCTTATTATTTCTTTATTAGACAACTGTTTCTTATTTAAAATCTACTTAACATTCACTTATTTCATTTTCACCATGTACTTTTTATATTTTGTATCTTTTGTAGCCCTGATGAAGACCTGCAAGGTGGGTCGAAACGCCGGCGTAATAAATTAATAATACTATTTTTATAATTTAGTATTTATTTGACAGCACCCCCCCCCTCACCTCCCCGATCAACTCCTCATATTATATCACGGCCAATCATCTCTATATCATTACTCTTTAAATAGTTATAACTATGACAAACTGTACTTTCGATTAAAGAAAAATTTGTCTAATTTACTATGGAGCAATGTTAAGTTACTTAAATGAAATGTTTTTTGAGTTATCGATTCCAATTCAACAAGAAAAAAAAAACACAAATTTTAAATTTCTTACTTATCTGCTGGAAATTCGAGCAATAATTTAAAGGAACTTTTTTGCAGATCTTGATATCTACTATCTCTTCCGTAAAAGTTTCTCTCTACTTAAGGGACACCCTGTATAGTCTGTTCTCTGAATATGAAAGAGTTTTAGGGGGCCTCCCTTTTCCTTAACTAACTATTCGTTCATGGCAAACCTAATTGATTACTATAGATAAATAACAGACTAAATGCTATTGGGCTGCTACAAATAAAAGGCAGTCGAAAGGTAATTATAGCTGAGGCTAAGAAGAGGTAAGCCGAAGAGGTGACAAAGCGTGGGTGGGTCACTGACAGAGCTCAAGGCCCCCACCACCTCCCGACCAGATACTTTCCCATAGAGCTTCCTTTTCTTGCCCATCCCAACGTAACTAACAGCACGATCTGCCGCCATTAAGTCGTAACAAACCCTTGTAATCCTCTTCCATAACACAAAATTAGCTGAAACGTCATCACTAAAATTAGTCTCTTATATTCAGGAACAAGGGATCTTTTTCTTTAAAAAAAAAAAACTTTAATTAGGGAGTCTTTTTATTCCCCGTGGCTTAAAAGATGAAAGGAATTAATAATAAAATTATTACGAATATCAAGAATGCATTGTGAAAAACAGTAACTATTACAAAATAAATCCTACGAAGAATTCATTTTACTCTTTTATTTTGAGCTATACCAAACCTTCAAATTCCTCTCGCTTCCAATCCTTCCAATCCAAAATCCTTCGTAAAATCCTCAATGCTCCTTACTTTGTTACAAATAAAATTATCGATAATGACCTTAATGTCCCTTATGTTTGGCCCAATCCAGATATCTGTCCTTCCATAATAAACTTCATAACCATCCTAACCCTCTTGTTTCTAACCTTTCTTCCTATTCAATTCCTGATAACCCTCCGAGGCGTCTGAAAAGAAGATGGCCACGTGATCTTCTAATATAGACATATTATTAGAGTGCTACCAATGGGTAGTTTCTCAACATGTGTTTCATGTCATTATATCCATGTGCAAATTTACCAGATGTATTTTTTTGTAGACAGTTGTAAATATCATATAAATAAATAAAATAAAAACTCTTTTATTTGTTTATATAAAATTACGTTGAGTTTTTAAAATATCATGATGTATATTGACAGAACGTATTAGTTTTTCTTTTTTAAAGGAAGGAGATGGTCCGTGGTGGCGGTCATAAAAAAACTAAAATAGTGGAAAAATTACTTTTATTCAACGCCAAAGTTTCGACCCGACTTGGCAGGTCTTCTTCAGGGGAGAGGGGGGTTTATGCAGCTGCATACACCTCTTTGAAGAAGATCTGCAGAGTTGGTTCGAAATGTTTTGCTTTAAATAAAATAGTTATTCCACTATTTCAGTCACTTTATGACCGCCACAACGGACCATCTCTCCTTCTTCTAAAATATACAACGGTCATTCATCAAATATTCAATAGTTTTTTTAAAAGAAAAATATTTTTTTGCTCTATACTGAAATCTAATGTTGATAACACGTTTTAACACCAAAATGAAGAAATAAAATTACTCTTAATGGAAGCTGTTGATTGAAATACTAAAAACATATTTCAGCAGGACTTAAAATAGTAATCTCTACATAACTTAAATACAACTTTAAGTTCTGCTGCTTTTGTTTAATGCGAGGTTAACTCAACAAATTAAATACTTGACCGTAATAGACCAAAATATTTGTTTATTTTTAAACGCTGACTAGAAAGATAATATAAGTAATAAAGACAAAATAAAGCCCAGATCATGGGATTTTATAAATTATTAAAAAAGTTTAGTAGACTATTCTACTCCTAAATGCAATATCTTTAAACAGGAAGATGTTATTAAATATACCAAAACTAATGGACTGTATCTTTGTTAATAATTGTCTGATTTTTTTTTTTTTTTTTTTTTTTGATTTGTAGGTAATTTGGTAATCATTCTAATTATTATGAGTACAATTCAGAAAAAATACTTAGTTTTTGATTCATTCGCAAATAAAATTTCTTAGCCTTTATAACTTTTCCCCAGATAATTTCGGGGGATAGGACAATTTTTTGCATGTGAAGGAGAAGAATATCTTCAAAATGAGTGGTCAATCAGATTTTATGAAGAATTGACGAAGTTATGGCGTACCGACAAAAAAAAAACACCTTTTAGAAATAATTTATAGAATTAGAAATCAAGAATGAAAATTAACTACTGTACTGCAAGACCTATATACCTAATAAAATGGCGACAAACTTGAGAATTAGTAAATTGCATATGCTTCACATATAAGTGAAATCTATGATTGTAATTTTTTTTTTAAATGAATCTAAATAAACATAAATAAGGAAATAAATAAACAAATGACTACGAACGCGATAACTTCAGAGAAATTGCTTCCTCGTGACGATTGTGTGATAATATAACATTCATTTCATCATGCCCTCAATAAGAAAACATAAGATAATGCCAAATATACGATTTGCACTTAAAACGTTATTATTTTAAATTCCTTATCTCACGGTTTTTATCTTGAATGATAATTTGAAACAAAGATATATTTATATTTTAACCTCATAGACAATTTTCGGTTCATTTTTTTCATTTATTAATAGGTACGTATTATATTAAATTTCCTTCTTAGTTTTCAGGTATACAAATTTGGGTAAAAGGAAAAAAAAAAATCATCACACCAAGAATTAAAAATAAGTATGCATTTAAGAGAGCTGTTTTGTATCTTTCTTTGTTACAAAAAAATCTTTCGACTTAAAAATTATATTTTCTTTATATAAGAGAGTTGTTTACTTTAGTAAGAAAGGTTGAGAGCAAAATAAGTAAAAAACAGTCTTTACAAATCTTTTCATGAATTCTAAAGTATTTTCCTTGTCGTTAATACATTATGTGAATAAACGTCAAATTCATTGAAATAGCTCCAAAGGAGAAAAACAATATTGTAAAAATAAAATAAACAACTGATTGAATAAATATATATTTTTAAAAATTATTAATCAATGTAATATGAATACAAAAAGAAGAAATGAATATAATTTTGTTAATAAAAAGATTTTTTTTAAAGTTTTGCAATATTTTAATAAGAGATTTTTAATACATTTTATTTTTGCATATATTATGTTTTAATAGAATCATTAACTTTATAGAGTGGTCAGTTTGCGAGTCTAAATACGAAATGAAAAAGAAAAACGGGACGTACGTAAAAAAAAAAATAATTTGTTCTTAGAAACCCTCAACTCTAAGTTAATTAAAAATGAATTTCAATATAATTTAATTTTTTTTTATAACCTATGTCATTTACATAAGATTTTTAAACCTGCTACCTCATTTTTAGGTGCCCATATCAACGTGCAGCTAAACATTTAAATCCATAGGAAATATAACAACCATCATGTATCATGCTCATATTCCATACTATATATACAATAACGAAAACAAAAGAAAAATTATAACAAACGAAAAGAAATAGATAACTGCGTAGGCGTTGACGACCTACGTGTTTTACCCCATTAAACATCAACAAACAAAAAAAACATTAAATAAAATATATTAGATTGCTACCATTGGGTAGTTACTCAGCAAGTGTTTTTCATGTCATTATATACATTATGTTCTAATTTACTAAATGTATTTATTTAATACAATTGTAAATTGTAAAACAAAAAAAAAATAAAATAAAATATAAAGTACATAAAAACACTTTCATAAATATTTAACGGCAGTTTTATAACAAGATTACTGATTGGAACAATCAGTAACAAAAAAAAATCTTTCTTTTCTTAGAAAATTCTTTATTGATACTATAAACATTGTTGAATATTTAATAGTTGACCGTTGCATTATAAAGGAAGGAGATGGTCCGGAGTTGCGGTGATAAATAGGCTAAATAGTGGTAAAACTATTTTATTGAAAGCCAACGTTTCGACCCGACTTTGCAGGTCTTCATCAGGGACTCTAGGAGTTTCACTTAGAACTGAAGTAGAACTTAACAGTAGTTCTAAGTGAAACTCCTAGATGAACACACCTCCCTGATGAAGACCTGCAAAGTCGGGTCGAAACGTTGGCTTTCAATAAAATAGTTTTACCACTATTTAGCCTATTTATCACCGCAACCCCGGACCATCTCCTTCCTTTATAAACATTGTTGTTTCTGTGGCATACAGTAATTAAAAATATCACAAATCAATCGGTTACTGTAGCCAATACACTTGGCAAAATAATAATATGGTCCCCTTGCACCCTGATAGAACCCGCATCAAGCGATAACAGGTGCTAAATGGAAGATGTGGAGAGAGGTAGCCGGGCAATGCGCCAACCTCTAAATCTAGCCCGGCAGTCCTCCTCCATCTTTTAATTAGTAAAACCGACTGATTCACTGATACGATACCTGCATCAGAGAATAAATCCTATTCTCTGCGTTTCAACCTTTGGTTAGTAATATAATAGTACCGAGATTAAAAAAAATTCCCGTCTCCAACAAGAAACAAGTATTCCTTGTTACTATAACGGCATAATATTTCCCTACGCCACATCTTGATTATCTTTTCTTTACTATTCAGATGTGTACAGAAGGAACGAGGTCATGTGACGATCTGTCACCACTAAATACGATTAAGACACGTGAAAGGAAGCTCCGCTATTGCAGGTCCAGACGACAGCACACACGGTGAAAGTTCTCCCTTGGAGGCTATGGACGTAATTCCTATCGGATCGATCAGTGTCTCAAGGTAATCCTTGATGCTTTTATTGGAAACGGCGGCACGAGGGGCCACTTCCAGAATTGGTACTCAGAAGTGGCATGTTAATAAAAAAAAATTAAACAAATTTGGGCTCGAAACACCAACAAATTCTTTTATAAATGATGTTTTAATCTATCCTCTAAAAGCTATGCAACAATTTTTTAGCAGGACCAAGTTCACGACTCAAATTATTCGGTGGGATCAAGCGAGTTTTTAAAAATTGCCTAGTAGGGAGGGGGGAAGAGGTTCCATGGCGGGGTTAGGAATTTTAGAAGAAAAAACATATAGGTTTCAATTTAGAGGAACTTTTAAACCAGGAAGCGAAGAGAATAACATGAAACAGACCACAAGCCTAATTGTAATTTTTCTATATTTTTTTCTGATCCTCCATTTTATTTATTAATTATTGCATAGGTAAAGGCACCTATTGTTGACACCTTACCAACTATTGACACTAGTAACTTGATAAAATAAGCGTTTAGGTCCATGTAGGATTTCAAAATTGGCGCCCTTTGAAATCTTTCATGTACCTAAAAGCTCATTTTATCAAAATTAAGTCACAAGCGTGAATAATTGTAACGTATCAATAATAGGTGCCCTTATCCTATATAAGTACAATAATATACATATATATCTTTGCTCTTATTCTTAGTTAATATACAT